GGGAGGAAAGGAATCGAATCTAGGAGGAGGGAGGCTGGGGCTGGCTGCCCACAGTCGAGTCTACAGGATGAGGAGGAAGAGAGAGCTTTCCATGTCTGTTGGTTGTTGGCTTGGCTTGGCTTGTGAGGAGTCGTGGGGAGAGAGAGGTGTGCGCGTGATCGAATCATGGGGATGAATGATGGATGGAGGGTCTGCCGGTCCGGGAGAGATGAACCAGAGGAACTGCCCTTCTTTTCTGTTTTTTTTCTCGTGATTTTTTTTTAGAAATTCTCGTGAATAAGTGTGTGAGAGACAAGGATTATTTGCTTTCACGTGGGCTGCTCGCTCGGTTTACCACATTTCCAAATCAAGGAATAGTAGGAAAACCGAAGAATTTAGATTGATTTTTTTTTGACTGGAACTCCATTTTCCTTGGGAATTTATATGCTTTCAGGCTGCGTTCGGTGCACAGGAATCGCACAGGAGTTATGCAGGTTCGATTTCCACGGGAATATTTTCCTGTAAGCCCGTTCGCCCCACAGGAATCAGCACTGTTCGTTCCACAGGAAAGTGCCCTCCATTTGTACTTTTCACGGGAAAGATAACATCTACTCAGACCAAAGGAAACGTCCTGTTGGAAACCTATGGTTTGCACTGTTCACCCATCTTCACTTCCTATACTTTTATTCATTCCTTTGCTTTGCTCTCCTGCACTCCGAACGCAGCCTCAGTCCAAAGCCTGTGGTTGTCTCGGGTCTGTTTCTGCCCACTAAAGCCCATCAAAGAAGCTCAAGGTTACAACCTTCAAAATAATCCTCTGGTTTATCGTTCTTGTTTTAGGAGGACATTACATATGAGAGTTATGGTGGAATTTTAGAAGAAGAAAAAAAGTTCTTCATGCTAAAGTCCGAGGAGGTCATGTGTAGTTGCTATGACGTCTGTCATGACATGTGACGGGTGGTCCAATGGTGGTAACTCATTTGGCGTGAACCTTGCATGTTTCTCCTCTATTGCTGGACATTGGGATCAGGCTGTTCGACATGGGCTTTGTCAAAGATCACTTGTTGTGGAATCGGAATCACTTGCTCAAGAAGTGACGGCAAGACAGTCTCGAGCAAACCTCGCTAGCGTCCTTCGCGGTGGCGTGTGTTAAATTCTTGTGTGTCAGAGTTATTTTCGGTAGATCCCTCGACATGGTACACTCGTCGGACGAGTACGTCGAATGGGAAGCAGAGAAGGATTTGCCTACGTTCACGCCCTCGCGGAGGAGGTAAAATCCAATTTCATGTTGAGTTGTACTAATTGCATATAGGGGGGGGGGTACAATGAGAGAGGGGTTGAGTATCAACTTTAGGTTTTGTTCCTATCGACTAACCTACCCTGACTTGTATGGGTATCAGGGTCTAGGGTTACATGATCCTAGTCGGTTGGAGGAGTCCTCCTGGACACCAGTCGCCTCGTCGTGTACTCCAAGTCCCCTGTGTCCATCTTATAGAGTTATAGCCGGGACATGGGCCGGTACGACCACCCAATGCAGGAGCCGACCTAGGGGGGCTCGAGACGGCCTCCGGTATGATGAGCCACCCCTGGGCTGTAACACCGCTAGTAGCCTCTGAACCGATCTTCGAGCCCAACTGCTCCTGGGTTGAAGAGGATCTAGAGGCGCCGACCTTTGTGGGCTTTTCAAGATCGAAACCTGTTCATCGAGCTCTCTCAGATGTAAATCTGCATTGTGTGTATTCTTGGTAAAATAAATTAAGGGCGTGTTCAGTACTCCTCCAACTCCTAACTCCTCTAACTCCCAGCCAGGAGTCCAGCCGAACGGCTTCACTCCAGAATTTACGTGAGAGAAGCTGGCTAAAAACCTAGTGCAAAATCTGTGGAGTTGTGGAGTTAGGAAATCATAGCTCCTCCAGAACTGGAATCAAGAGTTCATAGATAATTACCGGCCCCTGCTACCGCCAAGTGAACTCTTGGCGTACCGGTTCGCTCCCATCGTCTCTCCCGTCGCGAGTCCCCCTCCTGTCCCCGACCAGGCCTATGGCCCAGCCCATCTTTCCCACACCTTTTGGACTGTCAGCCTGCTCCTGATGGGCCACAAAGGGGCGATTTTATGGGCTTTAGGCTCGCTCCCTTGTGCGAGCGAGAAACGATGACACCGAACATATCGGTAGCTCCGGGATCGATCGTGAGAAGCTGGAGTTGGAGTTGAGGATTTATCGGCCACAGAGGGTTACCGAACACACCCTAAGTATCATGGTTGATGAATGATTTTCAAAAAGAATCTTGTTTATGTTGGTTGGGTCAAATCGTGCAAGTAATCTACCACGGTGACAAAAGGCAAAAAAAAGACTTGTATTGTGTTGTCGCCACTAAGGATAAAAAATGGTTGTGTGGTTTGTCCCGATGATAAAAACCTGGTGAAAACAATATACTATCAACATTATGTCACCTTACTTAATGCAATGCTCTGTTTTACTTAATACTTCGAGATGCATGTTAGACAGCGGGATTGGGATGGAGTATTAGTTGTAGATGCAGTTGGATAATGGTATATAGGTACAAGGACGTAATGTCTATATACAATAATGCATGAATAATCATAACATGGTCCATTAGTTTATTTATTTACAATTATCAATATCTATCACGTTATACATCTAATCCTTATAACTAGCAAAATCGGAGGACTCGTACCCTTCGCGACCAAGTTGGGGACGAGAAAAGGTTGGTTAACTGTGTGCACGCTCATTAACCGAAGGCTGATAGTTCGTACTAGTTCAATAAACCTTGATTCTCAACTAAGAAAAAAACTTTCTTAGTGGACTACATCATCCCTTCCACTTGGGATCCCGACAACTTATGTTAAAGTAGTAGCACCGGGCAACATTGTCCTTTGTCAACACAACACCTTGACGGAGGTACCACATGAAAATTTTAACTTTGACTGTTATCTTTGACTTTCATCTTTCTATTGTCCACTGGAATCTCCGAGTGCGAAAGCGTCCGGTACGTAGAGTCGATTGTACATGACCCATTTTTAGTTGCCACGATGAAAGACGGGATCATCCAAATTCCTCTAAAAGTATATATCCGATGGGGAGGAGTTCGATACTTGTGCAAGAGTACCAATCTTATCACGAATAATGTGGTGCAAGGCTCGATACAGTTCTCCTAGAGTTGCATTTCCTAGCCATGGTGCAAGGCTAGATAATGTGGTACCAATCTTATCATCCATGGTCCTTCGGTCTGCAACTCGCTACATTTGGCCACTCTATAATTTTTATTCTCACCGACCCACTGCGAGAAGAATATTCTACAATAATCCAGCCTTTGCAGGACCTTTTTTGGTGGTTGGAAAATGGGCATATAGAGAACCATGTTTGTGAGTACGAAATTGAGCAAAACAAGTTGCCCCCCATGGAGAACAAATTGTCTTTCCAACTAGTCAAGCATATCTATAAGAATAAGCGTTGTTCAGCATATTTTCATTCCGAAACGGTGAGACGTCGATAATGTATCAGAATTCCATAGCATCTTTTTGGGAATTGAACTTGCATGCAGCCAAACAATTCGGTGTATTGAGCGGTCATCTCATTGACTTATACAAAACAGAACAATTCACTCTTATATATATGAAAAAATTAAGACTGGGCATCTGCTCAAAAGCTGAAAGCAAAACTTTCAAGTTTTTAGTCTTTTTAAAATTATATTCCATAAAAAGAATTGTGTTATCGACGCATGACAGAATGAAGAGTCCTCCATCCACGACACTACCACTGCAATTTGATCATCCTACTTGACATGTTTGATCAGAACATCCTAAATGTTGTCTCTACGTTAAATGTCATTGAAGAAAATGGATCACCCTGATATAGTCCCGTTTTTGTCTGAAAATAATGACCAACATTATCATTGATTTTCATAGTCACACTGTCTCCTTAAACGAAATTATCGACAGTCATTTCTTGAAGAAAACCTTCATTCTAGAAAGGGTCATTTGACATTGCCATGACTTCTTTAAAGTCGATTTTGATCACACGCCACTCATGTTCTTCCAGTGTGGCAACAAATGCCGACGAAAGATGTATATATTTCATTTCATTTCTATACTTGGTATGTTTGGTTGCGGTCATTTCTGCCAAGTTCACATTCCCACGGGATTAATGAGGGCATCTTCAATGTCGTTCTTTAAAACAAACA